GTTCTGGTGTGGCGCTGTAGGATAAGCAGCTCCTCAGAAACCTATACAGGTTTCTCTTTATGAGTTAGAACCAACTCGATGGCACTAGCAACAGGCGGTTCCTACTCTTAGTGACCATATGAGCCCGTTCCTGCACGAGCCCATTGTTGCCACTGTGAGAAACGTCGATACTGACAAGCAGTCAAGTAATCCAATCTGTACTCATTTTAGTGAGAGTGAGGTGTTCTTTTTTTGATTATGCAAAATCAAACGTCCAACCCAGTAGACGGGAAGATGCCATGCATGGCTGGCCCACCAAGAGTTTTATTCCCCTGTCTTGAAAAAGCACCTCCTCCAGCTCCCCTTTTACTGGGTATTACGGAGTTTTACAGTCTATCCTAATGTCCCGTTTTCCCTCCCCCTAGAGTTCCACAATTGAATCCAAATGGTGTTCGTGGTCTTAGTGACTGTATTCTTATTTAAAGTTCCTAGTCCTAGAATAGATTTCTTTCCTCCTTTTCCCCATTTCATCCTGCTTACATATCAGGCTGCAAACCGCAAGGTCAGCAGTTCAAAACTACCAGCTGTTCTGCAGGAGAAAGATGAAGCTTTCCGCTTCCATAAAGATTTATAGCCTTACCTCAGAAACCCTGTACAGGGTCACTATGAGTCGAAACCGGCTCCACAGCACATAACAACAACATATCCCTGGGTGTGAATCAACAACCTGTGTCTGGTCTAGCAATCTCATGAACCCTTTATTCCTGAAGACGGACCATCTTGAGAATTTCTCACACCACTATGCCAAACCATCATCTCGTTGAGGGTCTTCCTCTTTTTCACTGACCCTTCTTGAGAAACTAGTCCCCCCTGACAACAAATCCAAAGTGTGAGAGACAAAGTCTCACCATCCTTCCTTCCAAGGAGCAATCTAGTTTTACTTCTTCCAAAACAGATTTGTTCATTCTTCTGGCAGATTCAATTTTCTTTACCAACACCATAACTCAAATGCATCAATTCTTCTACAGTCTTCCCTATTCACTGTCCAGCTTTCACATGCATATGAGGTTACTGAAAATACCATGGCTTAGGTCAGGTACGCCTAAGTCCTCAAACTGACATCTTTGCTCTTAAGCACTTTAAAGAGGTCTTGAGCAGCAGATTTGCCTAATGCAATACATCATGTGATTTTTCTCACTGCTGCATCATGAGCACTGATTGTGGATCCAAGTAAAATGAACTTTTTGACAACTTCAGTCTTTTCTCCATTTATCATTGGTCCAGGTGTGAGGATTTTCATTTTCTTTACATTAGGTGCAATCCATACTGAAGACTGTAGTCTTTGATATTCATCAGCAAGTGCTTCAGGCCCTCTTTGCTTTCAGCAAGTAAGATTGTGTCATCCACATATTGTAGGTAGGCTATTAATGAGTCTTCCTCCAATCCTCATGCCATGTTCTTTATATGCTCCTGCTACTCAGATGACTTGCTCAGCATACAGACTGAATAAATATGGTCAAAGGATACAACCCCAGCACACCCCTTTCCTGATGTTCTCTTGGTCTCTGTACAGGTGCCACATGAGCACAAGAACGGAATTCCCATTCTTTGCAGTCCCACTAGGATAACTCTAATAGAAAACCCAGACAACAGCCAAGTGTTGGAGAGGATGGGAAAAAGTCGGACCCCTGATGCTGGTGGGCCTGTAAAGTGATATAGCCACTTTGGGAATTCCTTGAAATGCTAAACAATTGCCATATGCCCAGCAATTTTGTTCATCCAAACACCTGTACAGGAGTGTTCACAGGACTATTCATAGTCAAAAGGTAGAAACAACCATAATGTGTATCAGTTGAAGAATGGATAAATAAAATGTGGTCAAAGTCACACCAGCAGGAGAACGATGTGGCTTTCTGTTCTCGCAAAGGCCACAGCAGAACTCAGCTGAGCATAGAAAGTGGTCCACATTCAGGTTTGGATTTGCAGTTTCCAAACCCTTCTACAGTCCAACAACAACAAAATCAGAGCATGGAATATTTTTTTGGCAGTAAAATGAAGTTGCATATGAGCTACAACATGAATGAACTTTGAAAACATAGACCTATAGAAGGGTTAATGGTTGTTGCCTTGGGGTTGGGGGTGGAGTTCTGCCATGGCACTGTAGGATAAGCACTGGACCACAGGTTGGTTTGCATCAAAAGGTCAGAGGTTCAAACTACCAGCTACTCCTTGGAAACCCTATCCAGGATCACTGAGACAAAAAAGGACTCAACAGCACTTAACCAGGAAAGGCTGTGGGAGGGAGAAAATGGAGAGTGACTGTTAACTAGTACAGGGTTTCTTTTTGGGGTGATGAAGGTCTTCTAAAATTGTGATGGTTACACAGTTCTGTGATTACACTAAAAACATATACAGTACAGTTACAGTGTGAACTGTATATGAATGGTTGGTTATGTGCCGTGGAGTCGGTTCTGACTCATAGCGATCCTGTACAGGGTTTCTGAGGCTGTAAATCTTTACGGGAGCAGAAAGCCCCATCTTTCTCCCGCAGAACAGCTGGTAGTTTCCAACTGTATATGAATAAAGCTGTTTTTTTTTTTTAAAAAAAAAAAAGATCCACTAGGAAGAGGCACCATTACAGAAGCAAATTCCTCATTAAACTTAAAGGTTTGACCCAACAGAAGCAAGGCCCTTGGTTGTAACAGGTCCCCCAAGTCCTGTCTGGATGAGGAATTCTAGGCCACCGACAGTCACAGTGGGCCTTGTCTAGGGTCATGGGATCAGTCAGCCATGCAGTATGGAATGGGGCCTCAGCCTAGGTGGGGCGTCTTGTCTCTGGGAGTGGGTAAGGGTGCCCAGCTGATGCATCTCTTCTCTTGGCCAGGTGGTCATCCGAGAATCATGAGCTGGGTCCAAGCCATCCTGCTAACCCGGGGCTTGTCTCGGGGCTGGGGAGGCATCTGCGGGGCCACTCTCACAGGAACCCCCTTCTCTCAGGTAATGGCACTGGGGGCTGGGGGAGGAAGACCTGGGATTTGTTCCTAACCTCTTCAAAATCTACACTATGAAGCCAGCTCTGGGGGTCTGAGCTGGCCTGTCTTCTGTGAGGGTGAAATTCCTAACTTATTGAAGAGGTGCTGGTGCCCATGCAGACGAAGGGATTGACTTTGAAAATAAGAATGCTGTCGGAGCTGAGTCCATCTGGGTGGTGATTGTGGATGGCCCCTATACCTCCTCCTAACGATGGGGACAGAAAAGTTAAAGTCACTTCTCTTACTCAAAGTGACTACAAGGCACAAGCAAGTCACCTGCCCTAGATAATAATGGGGGCTTCAAAAGGTCGTGGAGAAATTCCATTATCTTTTCATTCCATTTTTAAAGATGCCTTACATATGTTGTTGTTGTTGTTAAGAACCATGGAGTTGGTTCCTACTCATAGTGACCCTGCACAGCGTTTCCAAGGCTGTAAACCTTTACAGGAGTGGAACGCCTCATCTTTCTCCCGTGGAACTGCTGGATTTCGAACTGCTGATCTTGAGGTTGGCAGCCCAACTCGTAACCACTTTGCTACCAGAGCTCTTTACATATAGCCATTCGAATTTAAACATTCCATTTAAATTAAAATAAGGATTTTGTTAATATACTATCTAAAACAAGGGCTCACTTCTTTTTTTAAAGGGTCAAATAGTAAATATTTTCAGCCTGGTGGGCCATACTACTTCTGTCACACATACTCAGAGTGCTGCTGCTAGAACCCTAAAGTAGCCACAGACACTATGTAAATGAACGAACATGGCTGTGTTTCAATAGGAGTCCTGGTGTGGCATTGTGGGATAAAGCACTGGACCGCAAGGTCGTTTTGAACCACAGTCAGTAGCTCAAACTCACCAGCTGCTCCTTGGAAACCCTATACAGGGTCTCTACGAGTTAGAATTGACTTGATGACACATTTCAATAAAACTTTATTTAGAAAAGCAAGCAACTGGCTCTGTTTGGCTTGTGGGCTGTGGTTTACGAGCTTATAAGCAACATGCACCACCCACTGTGGGGAATAAGATCTCTTGACCTGAGGGAGGCACCACTGTAACTGATGGGAAACCAAATAGTAAAGTGCGACGTGGGTACCCTTTGGTTGGTTGATGATGCATTGAGGGTAGTGTAACCATGGCAGTGAGATGATATATGATAGGATGAATGTAAAACTAATGTTCTCCCATGTAAACTATCACAGAATTCACAATAAAACATTAAAAAAAAAAAAAAGTTCAGTGTGGGTAATCACCTGGCCAAGAAGTCAAGCCGAGACTCCTGCAGACCCCAAAGCCAGTGTTTTCCTTTTTTTAATCAGTTTGTTTTTTTAAATGTATCTTTGGAGTTTGTAATACAATTAATCACAGTGAGTAATACAGTTCAAATTTCATAAAGCTCTGAGGCTAGCCTATAGCAAGAGTCAGTTCCAGGCCTGTCCTGCCACCAACCACTTAGTTTTCTTCTTTGGAGTCAAAAGACGTTACTGTTTATTGCAGTTCCTTCCAGTGATCATTTATACCGGTACCAGAAAAAAAAAACACAAAAAACCAGAGCTCACGCAGCCTGGGGGCAGTTTGCACCCCACAGCAGCTGTCACGTTGTTGTTGCATGCCATCCAGTAGACCCCCAACTCACAGCAACTCCATAGGACTACCCCCAAAGGGTTTCCCAGGCTGAGAGAAGATCGCCAGGTTGTTTCTCCCATGGAGTGGCTGGTGGGTTTCAACTGTCAACCTTTTGGTTAGCAGCTGAGCACTGAGTCAGAGTGAACTCGACAGCACACAATAAGAGCTCTTTTTTCTACATATGGGAACCTAGTCTGCACATTGTTTCCTACCTTGCTTTTTAAATTTTTTCTTTCATTTACTAATATTCCTGGTGTGGCACTGAAGGATCAGCACTGGGCTGTTGAATCACAAACTCAGGAGTCTAACCCACCAGCTGTTCCTTGGAAACCCTACACAGGGCCGCTATGCGTCAGAACCGACTTGACGGTACTTAACAGCAAGCAGTATTCCATGGAGCTTATTCCAGATCACACAGTAAACCCCTCCTCAGTCACTAGTCCAACTGCCAGTGTTCCCCGTGTAGGCACGTGGCTGTTTGTTTCCGTACCTCCCTGCTGAGGGACAGGTGGGCCGTTTCCACTGGGCCCCCGGGTGTGCTTCTAGCTTGTTTGTAATCGTGGCGAATGTCGCCACATGCCACCCAGCGCCCACAGCAGTGAGTGAATGTCTGTTTCCTCACAGCCCCGCCAGCATTGTGTTGTTTCACACTTCACAATGGTGCCTAATCCTGGGTTTGTAACCACAGCACCACACCTCCCCAGGGCTGCCCTAAGGGATGACTGCTGGTACCTCTCCCAGGAGACAGCCAGCCTGGCAGCCCTGAGGGAGACAGGAAGGGGCCAGATTCCAGCAGCAGTCCTCTGTCCCCAGGTACTCCTGGCAGCCCCTCGGGGCCTCCACTGCAGTGCAGCCACCCACAGCTCGGACTCATCACTTGTTCCACGGCCCCCTGAGCCCATGAGGGGCCCCATCAAGGCCCCGGTGCCCCACGAGGAGCTGTTTGGACAGGCATCTAGTGGGGAGCGGGACAAGGCTAGCTTCCTGCAGGCCGTGCAGAAATTTGGGCAGCACAACGTGCGCAAGCGGGGCCACGTTGACTTCATCTACCTGGCCCTGAGCAAGATGCGACAGTACGGCGTCGAGCGTGACCTGGCCGTCTACAACCTGCTGCTCGACATCTTCCCCAAGGAGGTCTTCCGGCCGCGCGGCATCATCCAGCGCATCTTCGTGCACTATCCGCGGCAGCAGGAGTGCGGCATCGCTGTCCTGGAGCAGATGGAAAAGCACGGTGAGGCTCCCGCGGGCTCACGTGATAGTCAGCAGCGGCTTCCGGCTTCCCCGCTGGGTCTCAGGCCCTGCCCTGACCCCTCTCTGTGGACCCCATCTCGCCCTCTGTGACTGCTCTTTCCCTGCCTCTCTCTCGGGTTTCCTTTCTGATTCTCTCTCTCATATCAACCCCTGCCTTCAGTTTGTCCTGCTCCTCCCCGCTTCCTTCAGCTCTCTCTCATTCTCTTCTCTGTCCCTCCCGGCTTCCATGTGGAGGCCCTGCCTGCGTCCACCTGCACAGGGCTGATGCCCAACAAGGAGACGGAGTTCCTGCTGATTCAGATATTTGGACACAAAAGCTACCCCATGCTCAAGTTCCTGCGCATGAAGCTGTGGTTTTCTCGCTTCAAGAATATCAACCCCTTCCCCGTGCCCCGCGACCTGCCCCAGGACCCTGTGGACCTGGCCAAGTTGGGCCTGCGACATATGGAGCCCGACCTCAGCGCCCGTGTCACCATCTACCAGGTACTCACTCCCCTGGCCACACCCAAGGCTATCACCCCGGGCTGGGCCCCACCATCCGCCCCATGACATGGGCCAGTCCCTGCAGTGGACTCCTCACCACAGCTTCCGGGTTCGCCTCCAGCCCTCTCCCCATGCCTGGTACGTTGTAGGCAACAGCCTTCCTTCCTGTTCCTCAGACTTCTGCATTTGCTGCTCCCTCTGCTGGTATATTCTCCCTCAGGACACCTAGCCAGCCTGACAGGCACCCACCCCTTCCTGTACTGGACACATTTATTTATTCAGTTCCTCACTCACCATCTACCTTGTCCACTAGGCCAGAGCTCCCTAAGGGGCAGCAAGTGAGAATCAGTGTCCCATATCTCCCAAGATGCCCAGGACGAAGCCTGGCATAAGCTGATGCTCAGCACTTGTTTGTGGAATGACTAAAGCACCCCTCAGCAACCTGAGGCGCCAACTCATGCCAGGCTATGCTGGGCATCTACAGAGAGCCCCAGATAAGTTTCCCTCAGACACTGGTTCTGAGATGGAGATGCCCTGGGAGCTGTGGGAGCTCAGAGGGCAAGGGTCAAGGAAGACGTCCTGAAGGAGGTGAGAGGAGAACATTCTAGGTCTAGAAAACAGCATGTACCCATGCTAAGAATCCCTGGGGATGCTGGAAGGGCTGTCTGTATCAAGGCATGGGATACCAGGCTGCCGGGGGTGGGAGTGGGGAGAAATAGCATGAACTGCAGATTAAAGAGCCTGGTTATAAACCTTTTGATTGGTGGGAAGCGCCATACAGCTGTTTAAGAAGAGAAGTGATGGAGTTGGAGTTATGGTGCTAGAAAGACCCCTAGCACCTGTGTAGATGGTACTGGGTAGGGGTGGGCGGGCAAAACAAGAGAGGGCAGCAGGACAGTGAGGGCAGCATCCAGGAAAAAGAGGTCCGAGTCTTGACCTTGAACGCAGCAGCAGAATGGAGAGGAAGGGTAGTTTTTAATTACTCTCTTCATTTTTGTAAGTAATGTGTCTACATGGTAAACAACCCACACGGTACACAGGAACACACAGTGACAAGTCCATCTCTCTGACCTGCCCTCCAGTCCCCAGTCTCTTTGCCTGGAGGTGACCATCATGTCTCCTTCCTGAGAGAGTCTCTGCATTTGCAAGCAGATTTTTATATATCCCCTTGATTTAAATATTCTGTCCCAGCCCCAGCTCATGAAATACATACAGGAAGTTGAAACCATGGTAAAACGATTACCCTTATCCCCTACCACCTAGAGCTCGAATGGAAACCACCCCAGAGCCATCCAAAGACTCTGACTGTGTGGACTGTGGAATCCCTACCGTGTAGGGCACTGAGAGGTGTCTAGTGAGGTCCCTGTCAGTGTGAGAAGGGAGGAGACACAAGAGTGCTGATGTGGACGTGTTTACCTCAAGGAGAGAAGCTCAGGGAAGATGAATGGAGATGAGTGAAAAAGAATTGTCTGCAGGGGCTGTCACAGGATCAGGTCTAGAGGGGACAGGAGTGGAAGCGAGACATCTCTGTTAATATGCGTCAAGTATTAAACTCCATTTAAATGTTTAGAGGGTCAGCGAAAAAGAGGAAACCCCTCTATGAGATAGATTGAAAAAGCAGATGAGCAAAAACCCAGGTCTAAGTCTGTTTAAAGAAGCTCTGGTAGCATAGAGGTTATGAATCGGGCTGCTAACCTCAGGGTCAGCAGTTCAAAACTACCAGCTGTTCGGCAGGAGAAAGATGAGGCTTTCAGCTCCCGGAAACCCTGTACAGGGTCGCTGTGAGTCAGAACCAACTCCACGGCACATAACAACAACAACAAAGTGTGTAAGGAGTCCTGGTGTGGCGCTGTGAGTTAATGCGCCAGACTGCAGAGCCATTTGAACTTCAAGGTCGGTGGTTCAAGCTCACCAGCTGCTCCTCAGAAACCCTATACAGGGTCACTATGGATCAGAACCGACTCGACAGCACTGAACAACAACAACATGGGCAAACTACTGAATGATGATGAAAGAAAGCCTCAAAGATAGAAGGAATACACAGAGTCACCATACCCAAAAGAAAGGATTGATGTTCAACTATTTCAAGAAGTAACATATGATTAAGAGCCAGTGATCCTGAAGGAAGAAGTCCAAGGTGCACTGAAGGCAGATGTGGCAATGCAGGATAAGCACTGGACTACAAGGTTGGTTTGAACCACAAGATCATTGGTTCAAATCCACCAGCTGCTCCTCAGAAACCCTATATAGGGTTGCTATGAGTCAGAACTGACTCTATGGCACTTCACAACTACAATCTTTATGGAGTCCTGGTGTGGCACTGTAGGATAAGCACTGAACTGAAAGGTTGGTTTGAACCACAACGTCAGCAGTTCAAACTCATCAGCTGCTCCTCAGAAACCCTACATACTGTCGCTATGAGTTGGAACCTAGTTGACGGCATTTAACAACCGTCTCTCTGGAGGAGTTCTGGCATGGCACTGTAGGGTAGGCACTAGACTGCTAACTGTAAGGCTGACGGTTTAAACCCACTAGGCACTCCTTGGAAACCCTATACAAGGTCTCTGTAAGTCAGGACCGATTCAACGGCACTTAACATGAATCTTGATGAAAGCAGATGGCTACATCTTTCTCCCTCAGAGCAGCTGGTAGGTTCGAATCACTGACCTTTCAGTTAGCAGCGAAGCGCTTAATCACTGCCCCACCAGGGCCCTTTTCACTGTTGATAGGAAGTAAGACTGTCAGTGTAAGAGGAAAACAATTAATATGCAATCAGAAAACGAAGCAAACACTGTAGAATGTGAAATAACTATACATAGACTGTTTACTTAGGAAAGAGGTCTAGAAGCCAAACTTCTACTTGTACAATGGTTTTTCAAATGTGTACTTCAAAAAGGTGGTTGAATAATTCCATTATCTTTTCATTCCAATTGCCCATGAACTTTTTGAAGCCCCCGCCCCCGTACATGTCCTGTACCTTGCTCTTTCGTTCGTTTTTTTCCCTCTCACTTAATGACATAGTTTGGAGCCTCTTCTTTTTAAGTTTGTACCCACTGAGCCACCTTATTTCTTTTTGACCTGAAAGGATAGACATTATATGTGTGTCTCAACACTTGTCCCCCGTTGGCTATTTGGTACTTTTTATTGTTTCTTATTCAATTTCATTTAGCTTTATGAACAAATAATCACATTCAGGGTATAAAGTTAAAAAAGACACACAAGGGCAATTCTTCCCTGTTCTGCAGACCTGCTTCTTGTGCCTCCTCCTTCTGTGTAGACGCATTCTCTTTCTCTCTTCTACTTTTTTTTTTTTTTTTTAAAGTTTTTATTGTGAATTGAGTGATAGTTTACATGGGAGAGCATCGGTTTTACACTCATCGTTCAGTGATTACAATCTCCTTTGTGCACCATCATTCAACAGCATTTGCTTCTATTCCCTCTGTTTTATTGTTTGGGGGTGGGGGGGAATGTACATAAAAACAATCATTTAAACAACCAAAGGGCACATTCTCCTGGCCGCCAGCCTTTCTCTTTCCGTGAGTCTAGAGTCCTCAGCTGCTCTCTCCATGTCCTCATCTCTGGTGTCGTTGCGTCTCTGCTTGTGCTCCTCTCCCTGGCTGCTCCTAGGCTTCTCTGGTCCTGGATTCTGTCTTTTATTCGTATTTGCCACTGACAGTGCACCAGGTACTGTGCTAAGCATGCTAGAACCATCTAAAATCAATGCTGGCATCATCCCCATTTTGCAGTGCAGAAAACCGAGGCACACGGGTCAGTTGACTTGACCAAAGTTTCACCGCTTGTTGCAGAGTGGAATTTAACAAGGGGAGGGGAGGCTGCAGAGTTTACTCACCATAAGCATCTTTAGTGTTCATGGTTCTCACCAAATTAGAAGGAAGTGAGGAGGGCATTGGTTTTAAGCCATGCTGGGAGGCCCAGTAGAGTCCCAAGAGGTGCCCTAAATTTGCTGGACTCTGCTTCTCCCTGCTCCCTCTGTAGATGTGGGAAGGTCACATTCTCCCACCTGCATTCTTCCTCGCAGATGCCTTTGTCCAAAGACGCCACCGAAGCAGCGGAACCCACCCAGCCCCACATTGTAGGTAAGGCTGTCCCCATCCTAGCCAGCCCCTCTGCCAGAGTCCCTCTGCTCAGGCACAAGGGTGTGTGTGTCTCCATACTAGGAATCCAGAGTCCCGATCAGCAGGCTGCCCTGGCTCACCACAACCCAGCCCGGCCTATCTTCGTTGAAGGCCCCTTCTCCCTATGGCTCCGTGATAAATGTGTTTACTACCACATCCTTAGAGCTGACTTGCTACCACCTGAAGAGCGGGTGAGTGTAGAGGCTTGGGGAGAGAGGAAGAATGGGCACATGAAGGGATCGAGGCCTAGCTAAGGGAGGGTGAAAGCAAGTAGTGCTGGACAGTTACTGACTTCCAACCCTTCCTGCACCCTCCTTTCGGGAGTAGGAAGTGGAGGAGATTCCCGAGGAGTGGAACCTCTACTACCCCATGCAGCTGGACCTAGACTACGGGAGGGGTGGCTGGGATGACTACACCTTTGACATGGATGAAGGTAAATGGGGAGGGGCAGGACTAAAACACTGCACAGGATACGGTGTGACACTAGAGCTGTCAAGGGGGAAAGGACCCTGAGCTGAGCCAACCCACTTGCCACACACAGACCCAGTGGAGGCACAAGTGCACACACGTTCCCACACAAAAGCCACACTCCATGGTCAGACGTCACAGGGCACTATGCTTCTGAGGCCTTGTTCCCTCCACACATTTATATAGTCTGTCATTCCCTCTGTGCTGCGACCAGGACAGACCCAGTGCCTGCCCTCGTGCAGCTCGGTCCAGTTTTGGGACCCCAAGGGAGTAGGGGGTGGGATGGGACGCCCCAGCGCTTCCTGGCAGTCTTGAACCTGAAGGCATCATTCAGTCAAGGGTGGGAAGGGCAGTCTGGGCTGAGGAGACTGTTCAAGGCTTGAAGGCACAAGACAGCTGTTAGGCCTGCCTTTGGCCTTTATGGGCTCCTGAGAGCTGCTCCAGCTCCCACTGCTCATCTCTCCCAACAGTGGAGGAAGGGCCTGTCTTTGCCATGTGTATGGCAGGTGCCCACGACCAGGCCACACTTGCCAAGTGGATCCAGGGCCTGCAGGAAACCAACCCTGCCCTGGCCCAGATCCCCGTGATCTTCCGACTGGCAGGGTCCACTGGGGAGCTCCTGGCGGCCTCCCCAGAGCTAGAGGAGCCACCCCCACCTCCTCCCCAGGGCCAGGGCCAGGAGGAAGAGGAAGACAACGTGCAGCGGCAACAGCAGGGCCAGAGCTGAGCTGGACTGAGCACAGGCTGTGGCCCGCACAGACCCAACTGGCATGGAAGTATGCGATGACCTTAGAATGTACAGTAAATAAAAGTTTCCTTGTGTTCCCTCCGCTCTGACAATATGGATCTCAGGTGGGACAGCCGGTAATGGGCAGGCAAGACCTGTCCCTTTAATGCTTGGTGATGCCGCTTTTTAAGAGCTCTCCAGCCTCCGGGACTGATGGTGGCACCCCACGCCCAAATCATCCTCAGGATAATCTCAACGTTTAATCACTCTTACGTCTCTGCCTACTTGAGGCTGCCCCAAACCTTTAGCTTCACCTCCGTTCTATGCAGGAGTCCTGGTGTGGCTCTATAGGATAAGCACTGGACTAAAGGAGCTCTGGTAGCGTAGTGGTTACGAATCGGGCTGCGAACCTTAAGGTCAGCAGTTCGAAACTACCAGCCACTCCGCGGGAGAAAGATGAGGCTTTCTACTCCCGTAAAGATTTACACCCTTGGAAACCCTGTACAGGGTCGCTATGGGTCGGACCCGACTCGATGGCACTTAACAACAACAACAACCACAACGTCGGCAGTTCAAACCCACCAGCTGCTCTGCGGAAACCCTATATAGGGTCGCTATGGGTCGTAATCGACTCCAAGGAACTTAACAACAATGTCGACAACGGTCTATACAAAGCTAGAGAGTTTTTAAGATTAGCGGTAGGAAGTAACGGTGCACGCATGCGCAGCTCCCGCTTTCAGTCCTCTTTTGGCGCCGCGGGGCAGTGAGAAACCAAGAGAAATTTACCGGCGGCGCGGAAGATGCGCGCCACTTCCGGTCGGGCTCTTAACAACGGGGGAGGCTAGTAACTAGGGAGGGGGGGATGGCGGAGCGGGCTCCGGAGCCCGGGGCGGAGGCGGAGGCGGGCGCAGGCGGGGAGGCGGCGGCAGAAGAGGGCGCGGCAGGCCGCAAGGCGCGCGGCCGGCCGCGACTCACGGAATCGGACCGGGCCCGACGGCGGCTCGAGTCCCGGAAGAAGTACGACGTGCGGCGCGTGTACCTGGGCGAAGCGCACGGGCCCTGGGTGGACCTACGACGCCGCAGCGGCTGGAGCGACGCCAAGCTCGCTGCCTACCTCATCTCTCTGGAGCGCGGCCAGCGTAACGGCCGCCACGGGTGAGGGGCCCCGGCCCGAAGGAGGGGAGGGATCGAGGGAAGAGACGCCCCCATCCCCCTGCTGAGTCTGGTCCCGCCCCCTCGGGCTCAAGGCCCTGCCCCCGGCACCTGTGAGCCCCGCCCAAGGGCCAAGCGACCGGCCTGGGTCTCAGACTTTCGGTGCCCGGGACTCCTGGCTCGGGACCCCGCCTCCCGGCTCTTCGACTGCCCAATCCTAGGAATGCGTCCAGCCCCTCGGCCTGCCTCCTGGGTGCGTGGTCCCTCCCGCTAGATCTCTGATTGCCCAATCTTGGCACACGCCACGCCTCCAAGCTCTAGCAGCTGGCTTCCAGGACGGGCGGCCCCTCCTCTGAGGCCTCCCTTCACAACGTTCCCCCAAGACCCTGACTGGGATACCCAGTCATGTTCCTCATAGGTTCGGATTCCCATGTGGGACTGCGCATGGCCCCCTTCCCCACCGGGACCAAACTTCTCTAAACCTCTTGGTTCCTGGGGTGCACCTCAGCCTAAGGAAACTTCCCCTGGTCCATCCTTGAACCTCAGGTGAAGGGGAAGCACCTTCAGTTGGCAAATCTCAATGTGGAGCATGAGCAATGTAAGTGGAGTGTGGCTCTTTCTGCCTTAAAGGTTGACATGAACATTAATTGAGTTCAGATACACAGAAGGCTTAGAACAGGGACTGGCACACAGCTCTCGAGTATGGTATTCTCGATCACAAGCAGCGCTACAACAAAAGTCATGCTCTGCCCTGGTTTTTCAATTGCGCACGTTTCACCTGTTTCTCTTGCGGGAATTATGAATGCCAAGAACCAACTTAACTTGATCACCCAGAACTGTTCTCCCAAGCCATACACCGGGTGGTAAGCCGGTTTATATCCATAGTAGGGCAAGGAAATGAGCGCTTTAAAAAGTGTTTTTGTTATTGTTTCATTTTGTTGTTGAGAATATACACAGAAAAACATGCACCCCTTCAACAGTTTCTGCACGGACCATTCGGTGACATTGATTATTTTCTTAGTGTTGGACAACCATTCTCACCGTCCTTTTCTGAGTTATTCCTCCCCCAGTAACATAAATGTATTGCCCACAAGGCGTCTGTCTGTGTGTTTTGAGTTGCTGTTGTCATTTTGATCCCATAGAGATAGTTCTTGGTGTTGTGTCCTATCAAGTCAGTTTCCACTCGTAGATAGTTCTTAGAAGAGCATAATGCTTACCACAGCTTTTTTTTTTTTTTTTTTTTTTTTACCATTAAGCTAAAGTATTGTTTGGTCTTAAGATTTCCCAGGTATTATTGATTTTAAGGTTTTAAAATGATCTCAGAGCAATCATTTCAGGGATTCATGAAGCCTCCATGGCGCCAGAAAGTTTCCCATCGATGAGAATATCAAGTTCTGTTCTGCATTTCCCCCCCTTTGATAAGGATTCTTTTATGAACTGTTTCATGAAAGTATACAATAATGGTAGCCTGGCATCATCCAGTAACCCTTTAAAAGATTTCAAAACCTCAAGCTAGTGCCCCGTCTTTGGAGTTCCTGATTCATTTAGTCTGAGTGGGTTTGCGGACCCTGTATTTTTGTTTTCTTCTTTTCAGAAAAGCTCCAGAGAAACTTGGATATGCAGCTAGGGTTGAGGACCCCTGACCAGAGGGAGTCTCTGGAGGTTCCTAAGCTGAAGGTGATGTTTGCAGAAGCTTGGTTTGGCTGAGCTTGAACTGTGTGGAGTTGTAGGACGTGGGGGTTTCCAGGCAGTGTGTGGTAAAAAGCCGACTGGGCCACAGACCAGAGACTGACTACATTAACCTGAATGAGGAGCCCCTGTTGGATATAAACATGGCCAGAGAGAGAATTTTTGTGTCTGATTTTTAATAATCTGTCTTAAACCTGGAAGGATTTCAGGGCAAGAGCTATGAAACAAGGACAAGGAGAGAGAACTGAAAATCTGGGTGAAAGAAGAAATCCAAACAAGGGACACAGTAAGGCCAGGAACTAATGAGGCAGAGGTCACTGGGAGTGTGACAAGCACAGTTTTGTGGCATAGTGGGCTAAAGCCTGCCTAAAGGCATTCAAGAAGCATGAAGAAGAATGAATTTGTCTTGGCGCTTATTAGCAGCCAGAGGGAAGAGAAGCATGGTCAGTTGTAGAATGTCCAGTGTTCTTTCATTCATTTGCTTAAAAACAAAAAATGTTTATTGAGTACCTACAATGCACTGGGAGCCCTGGTGTGGCACTGTAGGATAAGCACTGGACTGCTAATGTCAGTGGCTCAAACCCCCAGCCCTTCTCGGAAACCCCATGCATGGTCGCTGTGAATCAGAACCAACTCCGCAGCATCTAACAACAAAAACAGTGATGTGTGGGGTATTGTTATAGATGATAAGGATACAGTATTGAACAAAACAGAGATTCTAGCCTCTACGAGATGACATTGTTTCTTTATTTGCAGCCGGCGGGCGGTGCAGACAAGAAACAAATAAGTAAATTATATAATATGAGGGTGCTTCCATTTATCTTTTAATTCCGTTTTTCCATGAACCTTTTGCATGCCCCCTCCTCACACATTAGAGAGTGATAAGTAAGGAGCTCTGGTAGTGTAGTGGTTATGAATCGGGCTGCAAACCGCAAGGTCAGCAATTCGAAACTACCAGCTGCTCCCGGGAGAAATATGAGGCGTTCTGCTCCCGTAAAAATTAACAGCCTCGGAAACCCTGTGCAGGGTCGCTATGAGTCGGAACCGACTCCACGGCACATAAAAACAACAACAACAAGTAGGGGGAGAAAGAGAGGTAAGTCAAACAGGTAAATAGGAATCAGGAGTGGGAGTTGGAACTTTAAACAATGTGGTTAGGATGGGCCACATTGAGGAAATAGCCTTTGAATAAAGAAAGATCTAAAGGAGGCAAGGAGATGTCAGAAAGATAGACCTGGGAAGAAAGTGGGAGACAGAAGGAACAAGGCAGGGTTGTGCCTGGAATGTACAAGGAACAGCGTGGTTGAAGGAGGCAGGGAGTGAAGGAGATGAGAGGGGCAGGGAGGTGATGGGGCAGAGGGTGCCAAGCCTCATGGGCTGTGGAGAGGACTCAAGTTTTCCCTCCCAGTGAGTTGGAGGCAGGGCAGTATTTGTCTTTTTGAGCAGAGTAGTGACATGATCTGGCTTATATTTAAATATAAGTGTGAGTGTGGCAGAAGGAATGAGTAGAGAGGGAGATGAGACAAAGTTAGCCAGGAGTTGGCAGAGCTGGTGACGGGATCAAGAAGGCTCACTCCATTCTTCTCTTGGAGGAGAGAGTGGAGGTTACTTTTGTGTGTATTTGAATTATTCTTTTTATATTGAAGTTTTTAACCAGAAAATGAAAACCCTGCTAATCCCTGCCTTGAGACTCGGGGTGAGGGCAGGGTGGGAGACCAGGAAGGTGGCATCTGCACTGGTCCTAGTAAGGATAAGGGCTGGCTGGGTAGTGATGAGGGGAGAGAAGTAAGTGATTGAAGTGAGGGTCCACAGTGGGTGTAGATCCTAGAGGCAACCTTGAAGTTTGGGGCTGACACCTGGGAAGTTCAGTGGCTATTAACTAAGGAGCCAGTCAGGGGACAGGATGACAGTTGGTGTATGAGGTGTCGAGAAGGTTGGGGCCCTGGTACCGGAATGGGGAGAGGCCCAGGCTGGGGATGTGAATGTGGGACTCATCGGAGTGCATAGAGGTGGTACAGGGACTCTGCGCAGTCCAGGAGGTGAGGAAGACACAGCCTCAGAAGGAGGGTGGGGAACAGATGATGGCAGTGCATGCCCTAGACACAAGTTCCTCCAGGTAGAGTACTGTCAGTGTGGAGTGAACGGGACAGTTAGAGAGAAATGGAGGGGAGGAAATGGAGGCTGTTGGGCAAAGAGGGACAATGAAGATGAGAGGGAGGAAATCAGAGAATGGGCTCTGGGATTAAGATGATCTTCATCTAAGATGGGAGGACTCAGTGTGTGTGCACAAGGGCAGGAATGTTCCGGTACAGAGGGCAAAGGCTGCAGCAGACGAGAGAGAAGCAAAGCCCGGCCCGGAGAAGCCTCAGCTCCTGTGGTCCTCAGGCACCCATGGCCTCGCTGGCTGTCACTGGTGTGTCCAAGGACTTGAACACCAGGCAGTCTAAGAGAGAGTGCTACATTAGGGTCAGACCGTTCACGCACCACGAGCCTAGTGCTCAACGCATATGACCTCGTTTAGTTCCCACAGCGAGTACTGGAGGCACGTCTGTTAGCTCCACTTCATAGATGAAGAAACTGAGACTCAGAGGGGATGAGACCTGCTTGAGGTCACACAGCCAGTTGGATGCAGAGCTGGGCCTTGAACTGGTCTGACTGGCCCCCAAGCCCATCCCCACTATGACGTGTCATTCTCTGACCCCTAGCCTTGGCAGGGCCTGAGACAGTGGAAGCAGCTGTGGACATTAGTACTTCGTTTGGGTGAAGGTCTGAGCAGCTCAGTTTCTTAGAGGGGACAGAGCACAGGGGAACCCGAGGAATGGGACCCCAAAGAGCTTCCTGGGAACCGGGCTTGGAGTTCAGGGCTGAGATTTGAGAGGTTGAGTGGGGTCAGAGAGGATGGACAATGGAGCTGATGAGGGACCCTGGAGTGACTGTCAGACCATTTGTGTTGGAAACAGCTCCAGCCCTGGCTCTGGGCCATGCTGGTAACCAGTGATTGTTGTGACCATTTGCCGAATAATCACTAAGTGTCAGGGGCTACGTCAAGCTCTTCACAACACACAGACCCTCACGCCAAGCCCAGACTGGGGGGGGGGGGGGGGTAATGGGGAATGCTGCGGCACAGGTGACATCGCTTACCCAGGCTCATGAAGCCTGCTGCTGTAGCACAGAAGGGGAAGGGGCAAGGAAGCAGCTGAGCTGAGGCCATTCCTCATGGTGGCAGCAAGGGAGCTGGGAAGGCCAGGGTTTACAAAGCCCAAGCCGGGTCACAGCCAGCACACCTAGAGACCTGTGGGCCCGACCCTGCCCTGGGCTCGAGTGGGGCCCATAGTCAGGGAGTTGGGCCCTAGCCGTAGTAAGGAAGGGCCTGGAAGCAAGTGGGCCAGCTACAGTGCAGGACTGCCTGAGAGCCAAGGACCCTCCCCAAACCAGCCCTCTTTGCCATCCCCGGATGGGCAGCACAGTGTCTGAAGCCGACCAGATTCACTTTTTCTAACATTATGGAACAAATGACCACAAAGTCTCTTTAAACCACACATGTATTCTCTGGCATTTTCTGGGGTCTGGAGCCCAGCACATTTTAGTGGGGTCGTCTACCTGGGGTCTCACAAGGATGAGGTTAAGATGTCAGATGGCTTCATCGTCATCTGGAAGCTCAGCTCAGGGAAGGTTGGATTCCAAGGTCCCCTCAGGTTGTGGGTGTTGGTTCCAACTCATAGTGACACTGGTGGACTTGAAATACCAATTGGGCTTATTCTGCAGGGCACACCAAGACTCAGGTTGTTGACAGCGTTTATTTCCTTCAGGTTGTAGAACTGAGGTCCTTACCATGTGGTCCCTTCGGACGCCCCCTCATGTTCTCAGTTTTGAGTGTCAGACTTCATCAAGTCCCGTGTATGGACTCTGCAGTCACCTCCCATGTGATGAACTAGGGATGAACTAGCCCTCCTCCCTGCCCCTACCCACACCCAGTGGGAGAGGACTGGAGGGGCTGTCGGAGAATTCTGCACACCACGGCCACTTTCCTCGTTTCCTTTCGGACTTCACTCTGGCCATGGGGCCTCATCTCTCTGAGGCTCAGTTTCCTGGCCTGCGCAATGGGTGGTGACACTCCCTCCAAGAACCAGTGTGCCCCTGTGAAGGCACTGCTGATACACTGCCCGAGTGGGGGCAGTGCTCGTCCATCCTGCCCTGAAGCAGGACACACAGCAGGCATCATAGCCGTCACTGCTGTTCTCATGTGGCCTAGCCTCTGCCCCAGCACTCACCCCTCACCCCTCACCGCCTCTCTCTGTTGCAGGAAGCCTTGGGAGCAAGTCCCCAAAAAGCCAAAGCGGAAGAAAAGTAAGTGGATCTGCAGCCCAGGGGCCATGGGACTTCCCAGAGTTCCTCTTCACTTGCTTCGTCAGTGCCATGTGCTGAGGGTCTGGGTGTATGTGTGTGCGCAGTGCTGTGTGGAACAGGATCTCATCAGGAAGACGGGCCAGGCCAGGGGAAGCAGGAGCCACTGGGGGTCCATAGGATTGGGAAGGATTCCTAGAGAGACCTGGAACTGTGGAGTGTGTGTTATTGAGTTGGTTCCAACTCAGAGCAATTCTGTATAGGGTTTCTGAGGAGCGACTAGTGAGCTTGAACCGCTGACTTTGTGGTCCAAACTGACCTTGCAGTCTAGCGCGTTAGCCCACAGCACCACACCAGGACTCCTGTGGAGTGTGTAGGCAGCGCTGTGTCCATTTCACACACAAACCCAGCCCAGCAAGGCAGTCCCGGCCCCAGCTGCACAGCTGTGCCACCAGTCAGCCTCAGACCAAGGTGGTGTGTCTCCTAGCACAGTAGTCCCGGGGAAGAGGGAGCAGTCTGCAAAGACCTCAAGGGTGTGTCATGTGCCAGGCTCAAGGGCCATCAGCAGGGACGCCCCTAGCCACACATGGCTCCTATGTGTGACACTGAACCCCTGTTTGGGGCAGCCCACCAAGCTTCCAGAAACCCTCTACAGGTCACTAAGAGTCCCCCACCACCACTACCACCACCACTGCACCTGCCTCCCTTCCCAAATGGGATTAGAACCACAGGCTCTAGGTTAGGATTGATAACACATATTTTTGGGGGGACGCAATTCAATCCAAAACATTTCACCCTTCCCCCCCCAAATTATAACCTTGCCACATGCAAAACATATCCACCCCATTACATCATCCCAAAAGTCTTAAATCTACTCCAAGTCCATCATTTCCATCAAATATGGATGAGACTTTAGGCGTAGTTCACCTTGGGACAAAATTCCTCTTCTTCCATGAAGCTGTGAACCCTAGACTGTAAGTTATCTGTTTCCAATGTGGTGGAACAGACACAAGCTCAACATCTCCATCACCAATGGGAGAGATTGAGGAAAAGAAGGGATAACAGGCATCAAGGAAGCCAAAAGCCAGCACTCCAAACTATGTTAGCTCTCAGGACTTGAAAAGAGTCCCTTTGTCTGAGACCATCTAAGCAGCGGCCCCGCCCTCCAGACTCCGTTAGCCACGCCCTCTGGATTCTGGGCGGAGTCTCAGCCCTGAGCTTCAGAACCACCTTCCAGGCCTTCATGGGAACCAACTGAGGCAATGAGGGCGGGAAGATAGAACCGGGTTAAAAATAATTTCTACACCTGAGGAGACCAGGTGTGGTGCTGTAGGGTATGCACTGGGACTGTTGACTGCGATCTTGGTAGTTGAGACCCACCAGCCTCTCCTTGGAAACCCTATCCAGTGAAAGAACAATTAGAGCAATGAAGGACCTTTCAGGCCCCATTGGGATGGAGGGAGGGTGGGAGCTGTGGAAGGAGGCAGAAAGCAGCTGCACACACTCAAGTGGGAAACAGCTGGCCAGTGATTGTAGCAGAACAGCAGCTAACACTTGTGCCCCTATTGTGTCAGACACAACTTATCTAGAGTGGACAGTCTCTGGGCCAGTGTTCAGTATCTCTAGAACGGGGCTCTTGCCTTTCTGAGCTTCAGTTTCCTCATTTGTAAATAGGAGGGTATTTCAACCCACGGGAGCCCATAAGGCCTGGGGAGTTCTGGGAGCCTCAAGGACCCAGCATTGCCCTTCACCTCATGTCCCCCTCCCCCATTTCTGCAGGGCGGCGGCGTAACGTGAACTGCCTGAAGAACGTGGTGATCTGGTATGAGGACCACAAGCACCGCTGCCCGTACGAGCCTCACCTCACCGAGCTGGACCCCACCTTTGGCCTGTATACTACAGCCGTGTGGCAGTGTGAAGCTGGCCACCGCTACTTCCAGGACCTGCACTCACCTCTGAAGCCACTCAGCGATTCAGATGCCGACAGTGACAAAGGTGGGGATCACTGAGCAGCCCCTCCCAGGGTCTGCCTGGCCAGGGCTTCCTACTTGCCTGCCAGCCTCCGGCCAGCATCTCAAACATCACAGCAAATGTGGCAGTTAGGCACTGGCTCTCAGGGATCGAACATGGATGTGAGGAGAACAGGCTGGACTTGCAGTCTTTGAGTCCAGCTCCGCATCTCTCGGGTCCATTACAGCAGGGCTGGGCTAGGAGCCAGGAGGTCTGGCTTGTTTGGCCGGCATTGGGCACAGAGCGGCCCAAGTGCCCAGACCCCTCTGCTGCTTCCTCCTTCATTTTCTTTCTTAGCTTTTGTCTCCCAGTCTCACTCTCTTCCCAAGCGCAGCCCCCACCCCGGTCTCCTTATGCCTCAGCTTTGTGTATCTTCCTCCCTCTGTCTTATCTGTTCCTGCTTTCTCTGTATCTCCTCTCTTTCTGTCTCCTTCCTTTTCCCTCCCTCTTCCTCTCTCTTCTCCACAATTCTTTCTCTCTTCCCATCTCTCTTTGGCTCTCGTTCATCCCACATTGGTCACACATGGATGGTACCTGCTGTCTACTAGGGATCAGGAGTGACTCAGTTAAAAGGGAGGTCCCGGCTGTGAGGAGGAGTGTGGGGTCCACTGTCAGGTATCCTGCCAGAGCTGAAGGTGGGGTCAGTCACTGGGGCTGAGCCTGGGTTGGCAGGCCGCTCAGAGCAGGTGGCATCCCAGCTGGTGGAAGGGTAGCAGTGGGCGAGAGGTGTTCAGGGGGCAGCCTCACCAGCAGCAGTCCTGTCGTGTGTCGGCCAGGATCCCAACAGGCAGCTGTGTCCTGGGACCCGTGGTCAGCCCACTGCTCCTCCACTGTGCCTCACTCCAGGCCCTGCCCCCACAGACCAGAAGTCAGTGCTGTGTTAGCCCCACTTGGATTCAAGGGGCCCAGGACTCAGGAGAAGCGGATCAGCCAGGGAGAGTGTGGCCCCTTGTGCTCAACCCCACCTAGACACTAGTGACTACCAAAGCTGGGCTCTCAGAAATGAGCACCATGAGCCATTTAGCCAGCTCTGTCCCCTGACATCCCAGCCCTGGTCCTTCACATCCCAGCTCTGGCCCCTCACATCTCAGCCCTGGTTTCTCATGCAGCACCATTTACCAGCTCTGGGCATGGGGCCAGAATTACTCCCAGCATGCAGTGCATGGTCATTATCGTCATCATCTGTAAAGACGTGAGACGTTCAGAATTGGCCTAGGTGAACCTGACACATGCCTAGCTCCGCCCCCAGCCTGCTTGGTCACCTCAGGTGGTATGACCTGTCCCACTTTCAGGGTGATGTCAGGAGCCTCAGCCTACCCCGCAGATCACAGGGCAGTGAGATACTGCTACTTTCCCGGCCACCTCCCTGGCCAGAGGGCATTCTGATAATAATGCTGCTATGATCATGAGAAGTGTATATGAGGCGCTTACTGACATCACGCATGCCCCCAACCCTGTGTATATATGTGCTCAGTAAATACCCCAAGCAGCCCCCTGAGGTAGGTGCAGTCATTGTCTCCATTTGTTTAGGCAAGGAACTAGACCTGCAGAGGTTAAGTAAGGAAGGTGCCTGAGTCACACAGCTGGAGGTGAGCATGCAGATTGGACCCTGGTGGTCTGGCTTCAGAGCCTGTGCTCTCTCATGTGATCCTTTGTGGCAGAAGATACGTCATCTGCAGACTGCACGGCCCCAGCTCTGTCACAAGTGCGATGTTTCAGAGTGTTGTTTTTCCTGTCCCTAGTTTTCCCGTGTGTGTGGATGAAGCAGCAGAGACCTGGGCACAGTGTCAGTGCCCTGGGCCTCTATCTCACCAATGGTCTGAGGAATTGGTCTCTGATCCCAGGGTCTGTGTGCAGAGATCCCGGGCCGAGTGGAGTTGGCATTCTAGGAGGGAAGCAAGTCAAGCAGTGCATGAGAGAAAGGTAGCAAGTACTGTGGGGGGAAATACAGGAGGGGAAGGGGACTCATCAGGACAGAGAGACTCAGGGAAAGCCTCACTAAAGAAATACCATTTCCCAGGATGTCGGAAGGAGATGAGAAGGGAAGCCCACATGGGTGTTGGATAGAAGCAGGCTTCAGGCAAAGGAAATGGCCAATACAGAGGCCCTGAAGTGGGAACTGGTCTCTTGGCTCCAATGAAAAACAAAGAGGCCTATGAAACTGCAGTGGAAGGGGGCCAGATCAAGTGGGCAGGCAGGGCAGGGCACTGTGGGCCACACTGAGGAGTTTTTCCAGCCCCCTACCCCACCCCAAAAGGAGCTCTGGTAGCGTAGTGGTTACGAATCGGGCTGCTAATCTCATGGTCAGCAGTTTGAAACTACCAGCTCTTCCGCAGCAGAAAGATAAGGCTTTCTGCTCCTGTAAAGATTTACAGCCTTGGAAACCCTGTGCAGGGTCGCTACGAGTCGGAATCAACTCCACGACATATCACCACCACCACCACCAAGCCAACCCGAACACACAAAGTTTAGCACTCCTGACCTGCAGGCTTCCTCCTGGGTCCTGTCTAGTCTATCTGATGGGGACAGAGAGGCAGAAGATTGCCCACAGGACATCTCTTCCAGTCACATTCCACTGGTCCAGGCTTAGTCATATGGCCACACCTGATTGCAAGGAATGCTGAGAACTGGAGTCCACCTGGAGGAAGAAACCCAGGTTTGGGGAAGAGCTGGCCTGTCTGTAATAGGAAGTGATGTGAGGGGTTCTCAGCAGAAGAGCAGTGAGATCTGAGAAGGCATTCACAGGCCCACTCTGGCCCCCTTCAGGGGAACACATGGAGGGCAGTGGGGTGCAGGCAGAAGGTGGAGGGCCAGAAAGGACCGTACTATCCTGGCAGAGGGTGATGTGTGGTGACCAGGGTATACAGAGGCAAGGGGGAAGTGACGGGGCTGTGGATAGAGTTTGGATGCAGCACTAACAGGTTTTGCTGACAGGTGGGAGTGGGCAGAGAGTTCAGGAGGGTAACCCAGGATTCTACTCTGAGCAACTGGAATGCCCAAGCTGCCATCTGCTAGCGTGGTGTGCTGATCTGAGGGGCGTGTGGGGCCCATAGGGAGCAGTGTTCCAAGAGGTGGGGAGATGGAAGGGGTTGGGGTTTAGCACAGAGGAACAGCTTTCATGTTGAGTCTCCAGGGTAGAGGTAGCATGGAGCATCCCCAGCCCTGAGAAGAGGCCCAGGCCGGAGGGACCTTGTGCAGGAAAAAAGGAGACTGGCCACAGGGAGGGGCCACAGGGTTCTGGATGCCCAGCAAGGAGAGCATCTCCAGGAAGAGCAGAGGTGGGTGGGGACTGAGAAGGGACCATTGTCACTGGCGATGAGGAGGTCAGTAAGCTCTTGACAACAACCAGCCACGGCTACAGTGTTGTAACCATCCCCTCTCCTCCGTCTCTGTAGTGGACAATGGCCTGGCCCCTGGCAGCTCTGACTCCTCCAGCTCTGGCTCTGACTCTGAGGAGCCCTCTGAGGGCCAGCCAGCCAAGGCCTCAGCGACAGTGACCCCAACCAGCCCAGCCAGCAGCATCGGGCTCATCACACAGGAGGGCATGCACATCCCGTTTGACGTCCACCACGTGGAAAGCCTGGCCGAGCAGGGCACGCCTCTGTGCCCCAATCCAGCAGGTAGCGGGCCTGAAGCCCTGGAGACAGTGGTGTGTGTACCAGTGCCTGTGCAAGTGGGCACCAGCCCTGGCGCCCTCTTTGAGAATGTGCCTCAGGAGGCTCTGGGTGAGGTGGTGGCCAGCTGCCCCATGCCAGGCATGGTGCCTGGTTCACAGGTGATCATCATTGCGGGCCCAGGCTACGATGCCCTCACGGCTGAGAGCATCCACCTCAATGTGGCAGCGGGCAGTGGTGCCCCTGGCAGTAGCCTGGGTGAGGAGGTGCCCTGCGCCATGATGGAAGGTGTGGCGGCCTACACTCAGACGGAGCCCGAGGGCAACCAGCCCGGCACCATGGTCACCACCACCACGGCAGGCATCGAGACCAAGAAAGGTCTGGCACCCGTGCTGGTCCCTGTGGGGTGGGCCTGGGAAGGAGAAAGTCAGAGGCAACCCTGGGAGTGGGCTCCCTGTTGTGAACCCCATGGACACCCCTGCCCTGTGTCCACCCCCGTAGAGAAGGAGGACCTGTACATGCTCAAGAAAGAGGAAAAGGAGGAGCCGGAAGCCCCAGAGATGGCAGCGACGGTGCCAGAGAGCACCGAGGCTGAGGCCGATGGGGAGGAGCTTGATGGCAGTGACATGCCTACCATCATCTATGAGATCCCCAAGGAGCCTGAGAAGTGAGTGTCTGGGGTGGGCAGTTAGCTAGTAGGTGCGGGAACCCCAACACTGTCTTCCCTTCCCTGTCCCCAGGAGGCGGCGGAGCAAGCGGTCGCGGGTGCTGGACGCTGACGGCCTGCTGGAGATGTTCCACTGCCCGTATGAGGGCTGCAGCCAGGTCTACGTGGCCCTCAGCAGCTTCCAGGTGAGGCCTCCGCCAGAGGGCGGGCCAGAAGAGTGGGCACCGTGCATGTGGGAACTGTGGCGCCTGATCTTGGCAGCATGTGTGGTATGTGAGTGTCCCTATGACAGAGCCACACAAACAGCACATACAGCTAGAGGCACCCCAGCTCCACCCACCCGCCAAGTGCCACTGCAGCCCCAGGACAGAACTGCCCTGTGAAGTGGTGGGGCCTTTTTATCCCACACCTAACACAGAGGTGGCTCCAGGCTTTCAAATTGGTGGAGCCATGTTTTCATTAAACGTGAGCACCTACTGATGCCAGGCACCTCTGCAGTAACAAGCAGCAGTCATTCTAGAAAATACGACTCAGGGCTGCCCGCTCCAGGTCCCGGGGGGCCACACGAGGCACATTATCAGAGAGTCCCAGGCCTGCCATTACCCACCTGTGATGCCTGAGTCAAACCACTGAACTTTCAGATTTCAGAGCCTCAGTTTCCCCAGGCACAAACTGGGCTAACAGTCAAGGTCCTTCACAGGGTCTGGGAGGACTGACTGATGCTCCTTGGGTAATATGCCCAACCCAGAGCCTAGCACAGAGTAAGCACCAAAAACCCACTGTCCCTGAGTCCATTCCTACTCATTATTACCCTATAGGACAGAGAACAGTTCACGGTGACCCAGTCCGACAGAGTAGACCTGCTCCTTAGGGCATCCGAGGCTGTGATTCTGTAGAAAGGCTCACCTTTCTCCCAGAGAGTGGCTTTGTTTGAACCACCAAGCTCAGTTTTGCAGTTAGCCGCTCAGTGTTTAACCCACTGCACCACCAGAGACTCTGTAGCATGGAGTTGTTGTTGTTGTTGTCAGGTGCCATCGAGTCGGAACCGACTCATAGCGACCCCATGCACAGCAGAACGAAACAATGTCCGATCCTGGGCCAACCTCACTACTGCTGCCACACTTGACGCCATCAATGATGCCACCTGGCTGATCCATCTCATTGGGGGTCTTCCTCTTTTTCTCTGACCCTCCACCTTACCTAGCATGACATCCTTCTCCATCGACTGTTCACTCCGGACAATATGTCCAAAGTATGAGAGACGAAGCTTAGCCATCCTGGCCTCCAAGGAGCACTCTGCCTGCACTTCTTCCAAAACAGATCTTTTGGTTCTTTTGGCAGTAGATGCTCAGTAAATGCTGTTGGGCCCTAGCTCAGAGCTGGGGGGTTTCTCCCAGGCCAGAGACACCCCTCCTTCTTTCTAGCTAGATAGGCCCACCTCCCTCCCAGCTAACCTCACTTCTCCTCACCCTCAGAACCCCACAGGGGGCCCATGGTACCCACAACCCTTACTTACTCCTGCTCCTCTGACCCACAGAACCATGTCAACCTCGTGCATCGGAAAGGAAAAACCAAAGTGTGCCCTCACCCTGGCTGCGGCAAGAAGTTCTACTTATCCAACCACCTGCGGCGGCACATGATTATCCACTCAGGTCAGGCCCAGGGCCGGTAACCACCCGCTGGAGAACCACCCTTTTCCCTCAGCCCCCCAAGTTCAGATTCTGATTCCGGCTGGGCTGAACTCAGCTCAGCATGTTTCCTGGAGCCCCAGGTGACTGCCCTCATTGTCAGTCTCAGTGAATGCGTCCGACAGCCTGTCAGAGCCTGTTGCCCCATCTCTGTATCACGTTAGACACTCCCTAGTCCACCAGATGGCAGCGCCCTTAGCCCCACATCTCTGTCCCCCAGGTGTCCGCGAATTCACCTGTGAGACTTGCGGCAAGTCCTTCAAGAGAAAAAACCATCTAGAAGTACACCGACGCACACACACGGGAGAGACACCGCTACAGTGAGTGACAGACTGCCCGCCAGCAGGCCACAAGGGAGGGCTCCCAGCAGTAGCCTGGACATGCTGAGCAGATGTCCCCTGGGCTGACCCTGCACCCCCTCCTTGCTTCCACCGAGTTCCAGCTGAGTGCCTGCCCCAGATGGCAACCAACCCAGGCACCATCTAGCCCCAATGATTGGATTCCTTCCCACCCCCAGTGCCGCCTACTGCTGCCTCTCTCCTGTCCTCCCACACACCTCCCTGAGCCGTCCCTGTCCTTGGTGCTGCCCGCAGGTGCGAGATCTGTGGTTACCAGTGCCGGCAGCGGGCATCGCTCAACTGGCATATGAAGAAGCACACGGCTGAGGTGCAGTACAATTTCACATGCGAGCGCTGCGGGAAACGCTTCGAGAAGCTGGACAGCGTCAAGTTCCACACACTCAAAAGCCACCCGGACCACAAACCCACCTGACCTGCCCAACCACCGACCATTCCTATTTATTTGTCCACTTGGATACCTCACCTTGGCCTGCGGGGGCACTCTGATACCATGGGCTGGAAGGTGGTGCTCCGCCCTGCCCTGCCCCAGGGCTGGAGCCCCTAGACAGATCTCCCTTCCCTGTCCCCTTCCACCTGGGGCTACGTGGCTGGAACTGTGTCAAGAGAGCAAATGAGATTAAAGAGCAGAAGGGAGCTGCACCTCCCCTCGGCCTGGATGATTTGGGCGAGGGGGGCAGACAATCTCAATCACCACCGTGGTCCTCTTGCCCTCTATGATGGGGAGGGGACGCTGCTTCCACAGGTAAATGGCTACCAACACCTTGTTCCCCCAAGTCTAGAGACTCAGGTCTCTTCCTGTTGAAGTGCAGCATCCCTACACACCCCCTCCCCAGGGTGGGGGCCACTGGGCATCTTCCACAACTCAAGATGCGGATGCTCGGTCTTAGTCCCTCAGGAAAACACCCCCCACATACACACAACTTAGAGAGCTCTGGGACAAGTTGTGAAGATGCTCACTAAACACGTCACTTACAGCTCGTGACAAGCTCCATGCAGACAAGTCTTAGGGAGGGCATCTCTGGGAGGTGGCATTTAACTGCAGGCCAGAATGACAAAGGATCCATCCCTGAAGAACGCTGAAGGAGGCAAGTCCCAGGCCAGATGAACAGCCAGGGCACGTCCTTGAGGTAGAACCGGGTCAGCCCATTCCTGGGAAAGGAAATGGTGTTGGTTGGCAGAGGCAGGAAGGCTGCCCTGGTCCCGTTTTAGGGAGGAAGATGTTGGTTGGGGCTGCAGCCTCCAACTGGTGGCCACCAGAAGGCCTGGGATCAATACCCCGTCGCGCTTCTCCTTACGGCCGCCAGGTGGCGCGCGAGCAGCGTGGGCCTTTGTGGCCACGTGACCCTGAGGACTGCAGCCGCGAGCCCGGGCATGTGCCCAGGATAGTCCTGTGATGCCACGTGGAGATTGGTTTTAGTGGCTCGTTTTAGTGGCTCCTCATCAGGTCTGAAGGACAGTTCAGAACCACAGATAGCACCAGTTTCCGCTTTGGACTGAGCTATTGACCGAGAAGTGAAGAATCAGCAAAAAAAAAAGTCGCTGGGATCGCCCTCTACCACCACACCAGCCTCAGTCCCCCAGAGGTGGCAGTTGCCATGGGAATTGCGGCTGGGTCTGTGGTCCAAGAACAGCTCACCTCCTGGCTAAGCGGAGTGGAGCAATCACTCGAGGTTCCCACAGCCAGCTGCACGGTCTACCCCAGTTGACCCAGGCCAGGCCACCCAAGAGTCTACACTGCCACCACCTCCACTGTGGGGCCACTGTGATTGATCAACCCGCGCTATCAGTGTGGCGTGGCCCTCGGCTGCGTACTGTCTGATTGGTTCAGTCTTTAAAGCATCCTCGTGCTATTGGGTCTCCGAAGTCCACCTCTGATTGGTCAAACTAGATTCTCCTCGCTGAGTTTTAATAGCATGTTGTAAGTCTGAAGTCTACAAAGGAGTGAGTGCTGGGCCGAAGATAAGGTAGAAGCTGATTTTCGGGTCAGGGGTTTCCAAGCTAACCCGACCACCTCAACTGAGCGCTCGAATCGCTGTCTCTGGTGCTGAATCCTAACACGTAGGTGCCCCCAACTCCAATGACAGCGTGGCCCCACTGACTGGACATAAACATGTACGTGTGCCCCATCGCCTCTTTAGAGAGTGGGTAGGTTCCCCCTACCAGAAAGGAAGCGTGAGTCTACAACCAGGGAAATCAGTCTCAAGCCCAGAAACCTCCACCCCAAGTTTCATGAGGCTCTGTGGCTTTCTAAGGGTTGCGGGGTGCCAACGGGATGGATCGAACTTGGAATCCCACTTCTTTCTCTCTTTGGAGCAGTGCAGAGTTTTTCTGCACCGTGGGGCACAGGCTCCACCTTTTGAACACGAGGCCCCTACCTAGCCCACTGTCCCAGCATCTTCTCAGGCAGATAGGAGCTAAGATAGGTGACCGACCCCCTTGGTTTTAAAGGGTTACGTACATCTGGAGCCCCAAATCTGGAGACACAGGTCTCATCCCAGTCCCAGTGGTCTTGATTCCCCACCCACTTCCAGTCTTCACGTGGAGATCCGGCCTCCAGGAGATCCGGCCACTATACCTCTTAGCCATCAGCTCTCTTCTTCAGCATCTTGAATGAAGGACAGAAGGGGGAAATCTGCTATGCCCCTCAGCAGACAGCCCATCCAAGAAGGGGCGCTAAGGCAGGAGGCGGGGTCTGCAGAGGCAGGCGGGCCGGAATGTTGTAGCAGCCGGAGCCCCAGGATGCGCTGTCGGAGATATGGGTCGGAGAAGGCGCGCGCTCGCTTCCACCTGCCGCGCCGTCGGGTGCCGCGAGGGGGCGGGGCTCGGGCACTTCAGCCAATAAGCGATGCCGGCGCTGGCAGCTGCTGCTATAAAGGGCTGGGGGCGGCGGCGGCGCGGCCCAGAGCGCGGAGCGCGCAGCACGGGCCGGCGGGAGGGAGGGAGGGCGGGTGAGGGCAGAGAACTGAGCGCCCGGGACCGGACAGGCCGGGCCGAGGGGCGGCGGCGATTGGGCAGAGCGCTAGGAATTCTGTCGGGAAACAACCTCCTGGGGCCTCACGGGACCGCGCAGGGGGTATCTTTAAGTCCGAGCCCTCTATCCATCTCCTGCCGCCCACCGGCCAACCCGGGGCCGAGTCGTCTGCGCGCGTGCCCCCGGGCTCAGGCCCGTCCCCGGTCCTCGTGGGAGCCGCCGCCTTCACCGCCGCCGCCTCTGCATCCACCGCGCCAGAGGCGCCCGGGTGGGCCCCGGCGTGAGCATCGGGCGCCCCCCACCGGAGTGCACGACCCCCGGAACCGCCCTCTACACGGACTGCGCCCGCCGGGCACACAAGAATGGTCACTGTAGGTATTCCCCTGTCACCCAGGGAAAACCTGGACGGGGAGATGTTGAACCCAAGCTCCGCGGAGATTGGGAGGGGGGGTAGGACCAGGCCTTGCTAGGCCCGGGTGGGGGGGTAGGACCGAACCTCGGGGCCTGAGAGTGTCAGGACCGCGCCCAGAGTGCTGGGGGCGCTTAGAGTCTTGCCTGGGAGGCCTTGGGTAGCCAAGTTGCGATTCAGAGGGATTCCTACGCAGCCCTGGGGGTGGGATTGCCCACCTCCCCAAAGCTGGTCTGATGGGGGAGGGGCCGCTGAAGCAGAGGATGCCGCCTCCATCCAGGCCCGGACCCCGCAGGCCGCCCAGGCAAACGTAGGGCCCAGATCATTGATGCTGGGCCTGGCCAAGGCAGGCAGGGACTCCCCGAGGGCTTCAGGAAGGCGGGTGGCGTAGGATAGCGCGCCTTGGGACTTGGCCGCGCCCAGGAGCCGGGCATCTCGTCCTCGAGCCCGACGACCTTGCGGCAAGTGGGGAGGGGTGGGGGCGCGCCCGGAGGCCCCGCGGGCCCGCCGCCGCTGCCGCCGCGTCCCTTTGTTTCTCGGCGTTTCTTCCCGGGCGGTAGCCTCGCGCGGGCGCCTCCGGCTGCGGGGAGGGGGAGGGGAGAGGAGGAATCGCGAAGGGGGGGTTGGCTTTCGGGCTCGTGGGCCCCCGCCCCCCGGGAGATGGGATAGGGGACTGAGGCAGACCCTCAAGGCTGGTACTAGGCTCCTCACTCTGCCAGGGCTCTGGGCCGCGGGGTGACCTTGAGTACACCCGGCCGCCGGCGCCACTCGCCGGGTGCCTTCAGCAGCCACAGAGCTGGTCAGCTCCCTAGCACTCGACCCAGCCCGACGGGCCACGCCCTGCGTGACCACGCCCCTCCACGCCCATCGAGGCCACGCCCCCAGGACCCCGGGGGCCCAGCCTCGCCCGAGCCCTCGGATTTCTACTCCGCAGCCCGGGCGTATCCCGGAGGCGGGGCTGGCCGGTCTTGACCCCGCCCCAGATCCGCCCTCGCCCCCGCCGCGCGACTCCGCTCCCTGAGCCGACGCGCGTCCTTTGTCTGGTCCCGGCGCCGGGGCCTTCAGCTTCCGCTTTTCTTGTCTCTTCGTATGTGTCTGTACACTGTGTCTCTTTCTGGGCCTCTTTCTCGAGTTGTAGCGAACACAGTGGGTAGGAAGATGCTCTGCACTCCCTCCACTCTTGGACCTCTCTCCCCTCCGGCACTGTGGGACCCTCCCACCGGACTCTAAGAAATAAGGCCATGCTCACCTGCTCACATGATCACCTCAGACCAGCACCTTCCCCTTCCTGGATCTCAAGCTGCTCACCCAGATCTGAGAAGGGGAGTATGACCTCCTAGGACCCTCAGAATTCCCACAACAGGCCAGCACCAGCTAGGCTTCCTCTCATCTCTTCCCCAGATTTGAAAAAGGGAAACAGATGCACAAAGAGGAGAGGGTGTGGTCAGAGGTCGCACAAGGGCGTCAAAGCCTGACCACTCCAATGGGGGACATTCAGTCAGAGACCCATCCCAAGAATAGGTTGGGAAATAGAGGGTAAATTGAGACAGGATCAGGCAGTGTTTCCTTCTACTGTGCATAAGGTCGCTATGAGTCGGTACCCACTCGATGGCACCTAACAACAACAACAAACTGAGACAGACAGGGACCCTGCATGAAGAGGAAAGGGCCCAGAGTGGGAGGCTCTATCCACACACATCACATGGTGGCCCCGCTGGTTCATGTATGCCACTCAGTGCATGTATCTCTGTGACTGGGGCTGGGGAAGGCAGCAGGGGTCAAGGGTATAGACACCATATGGTCTGGGCAGCAATGTGACTTCAGGTGGGTTCACTGCAAACTCCACATGCCAGATGTGTGCCTTGTGGGGCAAAAGAGAGAGGGTAGCAGAGAGAGGAGGGGGCATGGGTAAAGTCTGGGTAGGAGGGAGGGAAGAAAGGTTGAGAGAGAGAAATAGATTGAGAGGAGAGAGGGACAAGAGCTGAGAGAGGAAGAGAAGGGAAATGGGAGAGAAAGAGAAGCAGAAAGAGGGAAGACAGAGCTAGAGGGTATTCAAGAGCAAGCCAGAGAGAGTTGAGCTCCCTTGCTCCCATGCCCACTGTCTGCCTCTCTCTCTCTCTCCATCCTTGAGCCATCTGTCTTCCTCCCCACTGACCTCACCTCTCCATCTATTTCCTCGTCTGAAGTTCCCTGTGATCCCCTTTCTGCAGGCTGAACAGGGTGGGTGTATCTTCTACCAGTCTGATTCCCATTAGCAGCATAGCCAAGCTGGCTTAGTTGAGGAGGAAATACCACCCTGATCTCTATGCTCTGGCAGGTGGGAAGAAGATGGAGTGGTGGACAGATTGATAGGCTGGCCTTCAAGATCGCATGTCTGACTGCCCTAATCACCTCTTAACCCCATCCAAGCTGGGAGCAGCAATAAGGGGTGGGCATCATTCTGGAGTCCCCTGATCAGCAGTCAAATCCTGACTCCACCCCTTTCATCTTCTCCTGTTACCCTGGACAAGTCACAGATCTCTCTGATCCTCCATTTCTCCATCTGGGAAGTGGAGAAGACAATTTCCACCTTTCAGTGTTGTTGTCAATGACAATTTTGTACTTGGAGTACCTGGCCCCATAGCCTGGCACATAGTTATTAGCTATTGAGTGAGTTCCAACTCATGGCGGCCTCATGTCCAACACGAGGAAACGTCTGTCTGGTCTTGTGACATCCTCATGATCATTGGTATGTTTGAATTCATTGTTGTGGCCAATGTGTCAATTCATCTCATGGAAGGTTTCCTTGAGTTTTGCTGACCCACCACTTATCAACCATGATGTCCTAGTTAGTAGAAGTTTCTGGAATCTAATGTTTGGAACCAGTGGCTTGTGTATTGATGTTTGCTTATTAGACTTCCATAACAGACATTACCAACCAATCACAGAACTCTGTCTTTCTGAGTCTGAGCGGAAACTCAGAATTCAAGTCCATACATGAGGAATTTCTGTGTCATAACTTTACTGGAGAGACAGAATCCTAGAGAGGTGATGTAAATGTCAGAGGAGATACCAAAGAGCTTGAAGCCAGTGACTAGCACCTGGTGGCAAAACAAATGACTTGGCAACAAGAGCAAGCCATAGAGACGGTGCTCCGTTTGCTTAACTTGAATTATTTTATTATTATTGGCCATTTTATTAGGAAAGTGAATCTGGAATCCAAACCCTGGAATTGAATTCTCAGTTCACCATTTAAATGCTGCAAGTCCCTACCGCTCGTTGAGACCTGGAGAAGAGTCCCACAGCTTTCAACATTGGGAAAATTCACTGGAAAATGTTATATAAAGTATTTTGTCCAGCACATATCATGGCCATAGTTATTACTAAAGTGCTAATGTTATGTTATTAGACTGGAATGAAGATCTGTAGAAAGTGTGTTGTTTCACCACCAGGACCACGGCAGACATTGCTAATCAATCCAGTGCTCATTCCTGCTGAGCATGGATATGGCTTCAGAATATTCTTCCAGGCAGCCCTTCCTTCCAGCAATTGGATAAGAGTAAATGGGAAAGCAGCAGAGTTCCAGGGAAGAGTTAAGGCAACCCTCAGGATGCACAACTGTAAGGGGGCAGAGCTGCCCCAAGGTATTGGATGTAGTGATTAAAATCAGCCCCGGAATCAAACAGAGGCAGATTTGAAATTGAGCCCTTATAACATCTCAGCTCCGTTTCCTCACCTGTAAACGAGAGAATGTGTTCTCTGCCTTTTGAGATTGTTGAAAGAAATAAATGAAAGTGCTTCACACAGTACCTGATTACTGAAAGATGTCCAAAATCAGGAACCAGTTATTAACAGCAAAGGTGCTCTGGTAGCGTAGTGGTTACGAATCAGGCTGCAAACCACAAGGTCAGCAGTTTGAAACTACCAGCTGTTCCATGGGAGAAAGATGAGGCTTTCTGCTACCGTCAAGATTTACAGCCTCAGAAACCCTGTACAGGGTCACT